TTGGGGTTCGAAGATGATGCGAAGCAACCGGCCACAGCAGGGCCCCTGCGTGTACCATGAATTGGTTCTTGCAAGGCATCGGATCCGCGATGTGGGAGTTGGAGACTCCTGCCTTGCAAGGAAATCCCACAAGCTACCCCGAACTCGGGTAGCCATTTGTGGGTTGCAAAATTCCGCATCCTTGTATGTCTGCCACCCTGAGTTTGCAGGTGGCATGCTCCGAAGCCATCTGGGTCCGCCAATGAGGAGAGTTTCTGATCACTCTCTGTGCAAGCACGGACTATGGTGACCTTGTTTCGGAGACGAGCTATCCGCGCTCTGGCACTTCCCTGGCCTCATTCTGGTGAGGCACAGACCGAGACACGCATTCTTTTGCGTGAAAACCTGCAGTAAGATCGGAGCGGAGATGTCCAGCGGATCAGAGTTGGTAGGGTGTGAAACCCATTCATTTTAGGCATGGGGACTCGGCTTTGGGTTATGGGACGCAGCGGCTCCAATCTGTATGGGGCTCCTTGGGGTGCAGTGGGCAATAGTACATCTCGACACACCCCGACTCTCGATGCTGCCGCGATGTGGAAGCTTGTCCCTGATTTGATTTGGCTCACAGAACTAGGAGACCGGAGCATCATTATTGCAGGTTGACATGCGGGGCTCAAAGGCTTGATGCCAACATGCTTCGATTCGGGAAGGAGTCAGCAGTTAACATAACATCTACATGAAACGATTGCAGTTGACGTGATGGACATGGTGTGGTTTGTGCCAACGGTTGGTTTTGGAAAAAACAGCCCTGCCAGCTTGCGTGCTTCCAAAGAGAAGCGAATTTCTTAGTTATTGACTTTGCATAAGTTGTTGCACTCACGAGCACAGCAAAGTAACCCAATCTCAATTGCATGACAACTGCTGGTTGTGAAAGTTGCAAGCGTAAACAACATTTCTGATGACAACCAATGTGACCAACATTTCACTTTAACCGTCGTTTTGTTTGCCTTCTCATGCCGACGTGTAGGGAGTGAGACCGTGTATTCCCATGTTGCGCGTGAGCTGCAGCGTTTTGGTTCGATGGCACTGCGTTGTCGTTAGCTTCCGTTTTGCCAAATCCAAGCCCCGTCTGCTTTCAGAGGGCATCTTCATGCCATTTGGCCCGTTTTCTTCCAGTGTCGGTGTTGGCCGAGCAGAACCGGAATGGGTCGGGCGCACATTGACCATTGCTTGGTGAGCTACTGCGCCGTTTTCTGAATTGCCATGCTTGTGAATATGTTTGAAACCAGAGGCTGCACTCAACAAAGTGCAAGACATCGTTGGCAAGGACGACAGCACATTGAAACATGTCGGCAGTTACGTGCTGGAATGCTGACTGCGACGAGTCTTGCCGTTTGCAGGATCCAATTTTCGAGTCCGGTGACGTCTCGGAGGCATCAGGGTCAGTGCTCGGATTGACTCGTGAATGCTGCGACACGCTAATGTTCATCAACGAGTTTAAGCATCTTTGTTAGTCTTTGTGTCAAGGCACCACGGAGAAGCATATATACCGATGCTACGAGACATGCTGTCAACATCTCAAGCATTCACAGACTCCTGCGTACCGGCGGCCAGGCTCCTTTGAAGCTGGAAGACGCAATTTTGAGTGGAGTGGGTTTCTCAGCCTCCAGCTTGGGGCTCAAGGGTTCTAAGGCTTTGGTTGGTTCAGCCAGCACGAGCAGGTTTTGAGTCAATCTCGTCAGTTCTTTTCTGAAGTTAACCCTAGCTCGTCGGAGGATGATGACAAAGACGACGAAGTAGCAGGTCGCGATGACGATGATGGTGACGTTGATGTTGACAACAGCGATAGCAAGATCATCGCGACGAGGATGGTTCGACAAGGCATCGTGGTGCAGACAGGGCTCTCCCGCACTCTCCTACTCGTGTTCCCTTGTAGCACAACCCTCGCCTGCTTTTCGTCCGGTAGAGCGGAACGGTCTTGTTTTAGCAGATAGTCACAGTCAGGCTTCTGGGATATGCCCATCCGAGTAGCCGTGACATAATGGGGCATGGCATCGTCGCACCATTCCAGAGATCGGAGGAACTCCCAGGTAGAGCTATGGAGTAGCTGACCAGTTCTGGGACAGCTGTCGCATGCGTCTGCTTTGCTCCTGCAGGTCGCCCGAGTCGCAGCTTATAAGGGGATTGGGCCCCATCCCTACAGGATGTCAGCACAGCGCCGGAGTCGACCGACCTGCTCATCGTGGGAGCTGGGCTCTCTGGCCCGGTCCCCAAGTGTTTGCAGTGCAGGGGCCGAGTTTCGGGTGTGCTTCAAGTTTTGGGGAATGGGACCCACGTTTATCAAGGTTGCCGGGTTTGTTGGTATTCCATCCTTTTGGTGTAAAGCAGCCTGCAAAGCACGAATGAGGCGCCGAGTGTCAAGAAGCATCCATGGTTGTACGCTGTACACTGCTGCTCTGGTGACTCTAGAGCTTGTGGAAGAAGCATGTCCCAGAGATCACAGGTAGAGACGAGGTTGCCACGGAGCTTAACCATGCTGAAGTGTTAGGTTGAGGGGAAGCCCTGAAGCTGCAACGCGCAGACGCGAAGCACAGAGCACCTAGATGCGTGGGAAGGGGCATTTTGTGCACTGCATGCCGCGTGGAAGCTTGTGAAGAGCCATGAAACAAATTCTGGAGAGGACAATGCAACAACTTTCCAGCCTCAGACTCCAAAGGTGCTGTGTTGGCCGAGCGTTGCAGCAAGGAGCTGGGCATGACTTCGTTGATCATCGACGCAGCCCCAGCAGGGGATGCGCTTCTTCTTTGTCTCCGTGCTCTTGGTCTTGCTCGCGTAAGTCGAGCCGCTTATACCCACTGCTCCCCAGTTCTCAGGATAAGAGGGATCACATCGGCGGCAACTGCAGGGGGCCTTGGTAGGGACGGGCCTTGGAAGGGGCCTTGCCGGAGCTTGTGTGCTTTTGCGCTTCGTCGCCGAGGCTACGACTATGAGCCGGGCTTAGCTGTTTGCACGTTGCAATAGCGAGTCGAGCAATGGCTGCCCCGACTGCAAACAGTGCAGCAAGCGGGCTCCTAGTACTGTCCGTGCAGGTCGATTCGAACGGCATCCGCTGTTCCAAGTACGGTGCACACCTATTCCACACCCAGTTCGAGCGGGTTTGGGAATACGTGTCTTGGCGACAATATCCCGTGCTCTAAGATAGTCAGATGGTCTTTGAACAAGCGCAGGTCGGAGGGCCAAAGGCCAAGGCACCGCGACATCCAAGCAAGTCATTCCATCCAAGGTGTGCAACTTTTCTGAGTGGATCCCCTTCGATCACCGTGTGAAAGGCTTGGTGGAAGACAAGGTGCCTGTGTGACATAAGGAATCTGGGAGTTGCTTTTTCAAAACCTTAGCCCCGGGGTTGGGTTTTCTGTGGAAGCCTCAACCGTCACACGGGCTCCTCGCGGTAGGGAATTCGGACTACTGTACCAGCAGCTGGAAACCGACCCGACAAAAAATCAAACTGAAAACAACAGCCCTAAACCCGAAGCTCTAAGCCCTAAGCCCTAATAGCCTAAACCCCATCGAAAGCGGGTTCTGAGGGTTCCTATTTCTCCACGCTGCGATCGGAAGGCCGGCGTAAAGCGATTGGTCCCTATTCCACCCACACAGGAGAGAGCTTTCTTGCAGGGTTGAGGGTTTAGGTTCGAGCCTGCAGACATCGGGACTTGGGAGATGAGGTTTTTGCGTTTGACTCCGGTTGTGCTTCTTTCGCGCTGCAGATGGGTGTCTCGAGTCTTTTTTTTTAAGGTTCCTGACGGTGCATGACACAACGCCTCGAGCTTGCAGTAGATAGACAGACATCTTCGTAAGCAGCAGTAGTCAACACCGGACCTTACGCCCTGCGTGAGCGACCAGGAGACTGTCAGTACCCTCTTCGAGGAGAGCGTGTGCAGCGAGGCTGACATGCAGGCCTGTGAAGGGGTTTCGATTTTCATATGATGGATATGCGGTGGGTTGAGGAGGAGTGGGTTGATCCGAAGTGGCAGCCGTCCTCCTCCACAAGGTTCGTAATCGTTAGAAGATCCCAATCAAGGCCTGGTACGACAAGGAGCGGCTGCTTCCTCCGGGTGGCTTGGACGGCAAAGTACCCTCCGCTTTGAGCCCTACTGTATAACCTTAAACACACCAGACCTCAAATCCTTCAAAAGCCAAGGTGGAGAACCCAAAAACGGGGAAGAAGCAGCGCTCAGCCGTGTTGGGCCAAGGCATGGGAGCTTAGTTGGATGTCATGACCATGCCCAGAGGATTGCTCAAAACATGATGATGATGATGATGATGATGATGATCATGATGACGATGATGATGATGAAGGTGATGAGAAGGTGATGACGACTGCGATCAACAATACTTTTTCTCAGCATCAGTGGTGCCAATGCTCTGATGCTGTTATGTCAGTTGTGCACTGACGATGGAACCACTGTTTTAATTTCTGGTCCTGCTTGTTCTGCTGCTGTGCTGCTCTAATCTGCCTGTTTTATGCTTCCACTACGGTTTATTACTGGTATTGCTACGTTTACCACTACTACCATTGCTGCTGCTGCTACTACTACTACTGCTATGCTACCACTACTACTACTATTGCTGCTACTACTACTACTACTACTACCACTACTACTAGTGCTACTACTAGTGCTACTACTAGTGCTACTACTAGTGCTGCTACTACTACTACTACTACTACTACTACTACTAGTGCTACTACTAGTGCTACTACTAGTGCTACTACTAGTGCACCACCACGACCACCACTACAGCCATTATGTACTAGGGCGACTGCCACTAGTACGGCTCCGACTACGACCGCAACTAGGGACTACGACTACAACTACATTGGCATCCGCTTTGGTTGATCCGTTTCATCATCGTGTCTACAATGATCATTGATCACCATCTTCATCATCAACAGCGTATTCATTACCATAGTTTTTGTCAATGCCAACAGCACATATGCTGCTAGCACTTCCAAGATACGGGAGGTGCCACTCTGCATGGATGAATTTGCATGTTCTGGAACTGAAAGCTGCAGCTCTGGATATCGTTGGATTGTTTCGACTGTTGATGCTATGATTGTTGATGCTTCTCGTCCTTCTCTTCAGTATGCCCACTACTTTTGCCTTCTTCGTAATCTTACGAGCATCACTGCCGTTTTCCGAGGACTTACTAGTCAGAACAGCTGTTGCAATGGCGGTGGCAAACGCCGTTCGTTGTGTTGGCAGAGTCAGCACCAGAGGCAAATTTTACTACTACTCCCTTTTGGTCCTGTAACTCCTAAATCAGTGTCAAACATCCAGTACACATCATAAACATCCTAGACTCAGTTCATAATGAAAAAGCCCTTTCAAGGGTTCGGGAAATTCTTCAGGAAGTTTTCTACCTCCCTTCTCCTGCCTGACAGGCTCTTCGAGAAAGTCTTTAAGCACTACACCAAGAAGCAGTGGGACCGACGTGCCCCGAACCGATTTTCCCAAATTTGCAGCATCATGCGTACACAAACGCGAACTTACAGCTATGTGCATGTATGTTTATGTATAGAATGCCGGCATCTACATGCATGCCTGCCTGCCGGACTGGCTGGCCGCTGCCTGCCTGCATTCCTGCCCTCCTGCATTCCCACTGTATGCACGATGCATACATCCTACATATCGTACATGCCATACATGCGATCAACACTGCAGCCAGAAGGTGTCCTCACGAGTGACTGAGGTCTGTATATACAACCGGAGTTTGGAGTGCATGTTAGGAGTGCATAGACAACAGTTGCCGTAGCCATGTGTAGCTTTCGGTTTCTGTTTCTTCGCGTGTCTCATGCTTGTAGTGTTCGCGTGTAGGCAAGCATGCATGCATGCATACATACATGCATGCAGGTAGGCGCCGCTCGGTGGTTCGGTAGATAGGAGAGTACGAGAGTAGGTAGGCAGCCAGGCAGGTAGGCAGGTAGGTAGGTCCACGAGAAGTCGGTAGCAGCAGCAGCAGCAGGAGGAGGAGCAGGAGCAGCAGGAGCATCAGGACAGGCAACCCTTCAGCAATGGCAGCAGACGTCGTCATAGCAGCAGTAGCAGCAGCGGCGGCAGTAGTGGTAGCAGCTAATGGCAAGGACCAGAACTCGAAAGGTTACAAGAGTCATACTGCTACTCAAGCAACACTTTTTCCAGCAAACGTTGACAGCCCTAGTGTTCATAACCATGAAAGCAGCATTGGCCACCACATAAAAAGTCCACTCCATTACGTCAGGAAGATCCAGTGCTTGCAGGACAAATACCCTGCTGAGCTGGACGCAAGCGTGCTGCTGCGACTGCCGTGCAGAACTTCAACCGACGATCGGTACTTCCCCGACCCATGGCAGGCCCGGTTGCCGAGGGCCCAACAGCTTGAGCCCGAGAGCTACTCCATTGAACGAGTCCCTTCACGAGATGTCAGGGCTTGGGTTTCGTTTTACATGAGCAGTTTGCGTGAGGCCGGTTGAGTAGGCCTTCCTGAGAGGAACCAAAGATGACCCCAAACTCTCGGCCATGTGGGGTTCTGGGCGACACCGAAGCCACAAGGCGTTGCCACGGAGGGGCTACACGCGGATCTTCGAGAATATGTTGCAACTTTTCTGCATGCCGTGTTACTGCAGCATTGAAGTAAGGCTCGTGCTTGCGAATGCGAAATCTCAGCACATGGCTCTTGCGCCATGTCGCCGCGTTTCCCCAAAGCGCCGCGTCTGAGGCCCATGCCCCAAGCAATGCAGCCACAAAGAGCTGAGGCTCAGGGATCCGAACATCAGCATCCGTCTGAACTGCGACTTCTTTCAGCTGAAGGATGCTGTCTGACTGTGGGGCCCGGGCCTCCCTCCAAAGTCTCAGAGCCCTCGAACTGGGACTCGGCGAACCTTGGGCTGCAGAATCAAAGCCGCAAAGCCTCGGCCGCAGACTTTTGTCCCAATCCTTCGAAGGTAGAGCCTAGAGCTTCAGAGCAGTTACAAGTAGAGCCTGTTTCAGGGAGGGCTCTGCTGGAAGGTCTTCTACCCAAATCCTAGAGTTTGTGCGTTCGAAGCAGAATCCATTCGGCCAAAGTTCACTCGGCAGGAGGCCGGCAGATTGCCGAAGCACAAGCTGCTCGTGTACACAGGCTGGTCTTTGCGAGGGCTTCCTTCCATTTTGAGGTTGTGGGGTTGTGGGGTTAAGTGGTCATGGTAAGTAGTTTTCTCAAGCTTCAGGCCCAGAATCCACAGATGACGAGTCCGAGGGCAGTCTATTTCTTTTGGATGTCAGGTCAGATTGATAGCAGCTCGGCAGCAATGCGAAACCCGCAGTTGTCCGGGAATGGAGATGTGCCATTCTGTCCGGGTGGCATGGAGTCACACCTAGCGGCTAGGGGCTGTAAGCATTGCGTCCCGCAAGAAGACAGGAACGGACACAATTCGCGCACGCTTGCCAATGCACGTCAAAGCAAAGTCAAAGTCAGATTGTAAAGACGCAGATTCACCAACACAGTTGCACCGAGGTTACTACGCAGCGCTGGGAATGCCAAAACTGGAATATCGATCCCTGCGCTTCGAGGTGCGGAGGGGGACAGCATCCATGAGCTGCTTGAAGTTCTCGGGCCTGTGGTGATAGTACGTCGGTTTGGCTGAGTATAGCTAAAGCATTGCGTGCTTATGTCTTTACATACGCCTGTGCTGTGAAGTGGCGGATGGCATGTGATTCATAGTACGCAGCTCCGTGACTTGGTCTCTTGCTCGCCAAACGGCAGCCCGACGTGCTTGGAGGTGCCAAGGCTTATTCGAGGACGGCCGAATGCCATCTCAGAGAGTGCAACAAGCCCTGTGATCCCTAAAGACAAAGCCTCTAGGCTTTTTGGCCATACGGAGCTGCTTAGACTTCAATCCAGGAGGAGTTCGTCCCTGAGCCGGACGGCGGCTTTTTCCAAGAGGCCATCGAATGCGGCTTGTGAGAGTGGTGTTGTGGTGTTGACACCAGTGCAAGTCTCTGATGAAGACAGTCGATGCTTGTTCCCGATCCTGTTGAGCTCCTCGAGGGCGTAGGTTCGAATGCATAGAATCAGAGGATGTGCAGTTCTGCAGGCAATGGTGGTCAACCACCCCTCGCCGGACGTGCCCTTCACTCGAATTGTAGAGCATCTTGGCCTGCACAACGACAGGCCCTGAAATTAGCGCTGCGAATCTTATGCTTGACTCCGAGCCCTAAATGCCCCAAATCCTGCAATCCAGCGCTTCCCGCTCTTTCATCGTGTTAGTCTTGAGTGAGGGAGAGAAGAAGTAACTCGAGATGGCAGTGTATTGAGGTGTGGTGCAATGCCGCACGATGTCGAGAGATGCAGTTCAATACAAAGGTACAGTATCCAATGGTCTGCGACAGCAGCCCCAAGAGATACTCACGAACTCTCCGTTCACAAGTGTGTCGATTTACGGAGCACCAGGGAGGCAAGTTTGAATGAGAAGAATGACTTTTAACAAACCGTGTTTCGACTTTGCATGTCTTCGGAAGAAGTCAAAAGAACCAACATGTCAAGAATCCAAATCCTCCAACCTCGACCTCGGCACAGTGTTAATAGGTGGACCCTTCTGCGGCTCTGGTTGCAGCAAGCTGTTCGGATCTCGCGAGCAAGGTACAAACACGTCCCGAACCAGCCGCAGGAGGTGAAAGACGGCAGGGTCAAAGGGACTCTCATCGCCGCAGCCCCGAATTGGCCCTGCTGTGCCTCCGTGTGAAAGCGTCTCGCATCTACTCGCTGTGAGGCCAGAGAATACTCCTCAGCAGAAGGGGAGCCGTACTACCCGGTGCCAAACCCTGCCAACAGGCTTCACACCGATGCCTTTTGGGACGGGATTGCAACATGTCCAGAAGAAACAGAGCTAGAATCGCTCCTCATGTCACTGGACGGGAGCCGCAACTGCTGCCAGGGCGCTCTATGAGAAATATGCAGACCTCGCGGCGCGCGAGGAGGCCAGAAGCAAATCGGGGCCGGGCTGAGAAGGATCGCAAACAAGCGGGCCACCTGTGGGCGTTTTGCAGATTCCCTTGGTGTGGACTATCTGAAATGAGGTTGGGGGTCGAGTCCGAGACTGCAGTTCGCGATGCGTTTCCCTGCTCCGCAAGGGGGTGGCATTTGTGGGACGGCTCGCGTCGTACAAGTACTTCAACATGGACCAGGCCTCTGCTGAGCTCCCACAGGGGCCTCGAGAATCTAAGCCGTGATTCTACACTGCTTAAAGTTTAGTTAGAGGCTACAGCTACAGGCCATGGGTCATTGTTTTCTGCTCGATCCAGTCCTGTCCGACCTTGAAAGGCCATTCTGAATGCGCTGGAAATGTTTGACAATCTGAAGGACGTGTTGCACGGAACATGCTTTGAAGGTGGCGCTGCGTCCTAATGGGCTCGGAGAAGGTGACCGTATCTACATACGCTCCCGGAGTGGCCCAATACAGTAGGCCAAACTATTGAGCTGCCAGACGGCCGTTCAGCATTTCATGGCCGAAAGGCAGTAGTGAAGTCAATAGGAGGAAGTTCCACAAGCTAAAGTTCCCTCGGATGCGACACTCTCAGGTGCAGGTCAAAGTACACATGAAGCAAAGTCATGTAGAGCGTCATGTCATGTGACTGATACATTTAGCAAGATATGAACAACGAGCATTGACACATATGGTAAGAGATGCAGCTGAGAAGACACGACGAGCGCTCGTCCGGTTTCTCAGGAGACTGGCAAGTTGGAGCCCAAGCGGAAACCTGAAGATTTCGGTCCTGGTGACGGCCCGAAGTAGAGGCGCGGCTCTAAGACTCTGGGGCTTTCGAGGGGCTGTTGTATCCATGACCGGAGTTCTCATCAGTTTCGGGATCGTCTTCATCGTCGACTCGTTATCATGGCCATCTTCGAAACGATGCACAGTATCTCGCTTTCAACATCTTCAACGTTTCGATATTTCGGCATCGCCATTATCAACTTCATCATCCTTATTGGCCTCCTGGTCCTTCTCCTCGTCATCGTAGTCTCTGTCATCAGGATCGACAAGAACATCATCGTCGAATCATCGTCCTCATCGTCTTGTCAGCATCATTGCAGCATCATCACCACCACCACCACCACCATCATCATCATCATCATCATCAGCAGCGTCAAGACCTTCTGCTTCATCATCAACATCGTCATCATCAACACTCGCACCATCAGCATCGTCACCGTCATCCCACCATCGTCATCATCTCCCACCTCAGTTTGGTATCGCCATTGGCTTTATCGCCATCTTGTTCTTCAGCATGACGTGTTATTGGCAATTTTTCTATCTGTGTGATCATCCTCATCATCAAACTTGTCATCAGCATCCTATCGCTGCCATGACTGGCAGCACCACCATCCGCACCGCCAGCACCACCAGCACTACCAGCACCACCATCACCGCCAGCAGCACCAGTAGCAGCATAACTGGCACCGCCAGCGCCACCAACGCCGCCTCCCCAACCAGCAACACGAGCATCAGCAACTGGACTGCCCACGGCCACGATCCCGATTGCTGTGCTCGTCGTCGTACAGGAGTCACCGGTACAAAGTAGTGCTTGGGAGCTGGGCGTTTGGGTGACGCGATGCTTTTTGTGGTTCAGTTTCATGGTGGAGTCGACTCTAATCTAAGGCGCTGGAGGCATGGGATCCTTCTACTAGCCCGATGTCGGAGCAGCTGCAAAGCAGCCACATGCCTGCTTCGGTCGAGAGGATCTGACCGACACTTTCCGGGCAAACAAAAGGTTGGCCAGGAATTTGTTGGTTCGCGAGGGCAGGTGTGACCTTCGGAATAGACGGAGGAACTTAGACCGATCCATTCCATAGGCTCCATGTGCAGATTTTGCCCCATGTGATCTTCTCGGTTGAATTCAGTGCACACTGAATGCCGCGTGGAACGAACGAAAAGGGAGCTGTGCATGGAATGTTGCGTGAGACATCTTTGGCCCTGCGCTTGAGTGGATCTTCGTCTCGCTAGAATTCCTGCTTGCTGAAGATCTGGCTAGTTTTGTGTCAGGAGGGTTCAGTCGGGCAACATCAACAACAGCAGCAACAACAACAAACATAACAACACCAGCAGCAACAACAACAACAACAACAGCAACAACAACAACAACAACACCTTCGGCACCAACAGCAACGACACTACCAATACGATGAACGGGAAGCGCATCGGGGGGGGGCGAGGGGGGGGCGAGGGGGGGGGGGGTGTTGAAGATGTATGATGAGCCGTAATCGCCACATGAAATGGCGTCTTTAAGATGCATGATAACTTGTAACTACCCAATAGCTTGACACAGAGCAAGACCCTGCACATTGTAGTTCCCAATAGCTTGACGTAAAGCAACACCCTGCAAATGCTAATTCCCCCATAGCTTGACACAAAACCGGAGCCTCGACGGCCCAACAGCTTGACACAAGACAGGAGCTTCGAACTTGGAATCCCTCAATAGCTTGGGGCACAACAAAACCCTACAAGTTGGAATTCGCCAATAGCTTGACGCAGCGCAAAGCCCTGCAAATTGTATTTCCCCAATAGCTTGACGCAAGGCAGGAGTCCGAAATTGCACTCCCCCAATAGCTTGGGGCAAAGCGCAACCCTGCTAATTGCAATTGCCCAAAAGCTTGACGCAAGACACTAGCCTCGAAATTGGAATTCTCCAATAACTTGCGGCAAAATGCCACCCTGCTAAGACCGGACTCAGAACAAAAAACCCTTGCGCAGGTTCAGTCTCCTTTGCGAGCCTTTGGCTCTACAGGTTTCATTGCAGTGACTTCCTCTTCCTCGGATCAACCGATCAACACTTCTCGGTGTTACAGTCTGCAGCAATACGGCAAGTGTCGGCGATGTCTCCTCTTCCATCGGTGCAGCAGTCCCTTGAATGAGTCCAGGAACTTTGTTTACTGTGTATGCCAGATTCTGAATCTAAACTCAGAGGATTAGCAATGCTGCAAGGAAGCATGTGCTCTAGCCCAGCAAATCTGCGATCCCATCGATCTTCAAGCCCGCATGCCGAAAAACCAGTTTCCTTGGGGGTTCAGTGTGCGGCAGGTACTCTGCGTTCCTGGAGGAAGCAGACGCCGTCGCTGCTTCGCTGGAGACCAATGTGGCCACCTTCTCCAAAACTCTGCAGAATACCAGGCTCCTGCCAGGGCTGTTTTCAGATATTTGCCATGAATCGAGCCGAGCTCAGAGCCTCTTGGGAGGTTCGGAGCTGTGTGCTCCGTTGTCTGCTGTTGTTGATGTCATTATTTTTTCGTGCATCTTTCCGAGGACCAGTGCTGCTTTTCGAAGGACCACCACATGAATTGCTACTGCTACTGCTTTCCCGACTCCGAATAGTGCTTGAGCGACTGTCGCCTTCCTGCTCCGCCGCTATGTCCATGCCAATGGGAATCACACAGTTATCGCCGAGCATACTTCGTAGGATTATAGACCACGAGACTCATAAAATCCCAGATTCCCCCAAAAGGAACCCCCAAAACGCTCTTGCATGTTTCTGACTTCAAGGCGCCGGGCGCTGGCGGCTGCACGCGCCGAGTTCCATTCCTGCCTGGAGGACTGGTCGGCGCAGGTCCAGGCGCAGGCAGGGCGAGTGCCACCGCCTTCCAGGACGAAACCCCGCCGAAGCCAAGTGCCTGTGTGCAGCAGCGTGACATCTGAGAGGGCTTTCTCAGGCAAACAGGATGATGGCGAATGCGCGAATGAATACCTCTGCCAACAGCAAACCCTCTGCAGCAGGCAATAATGTTAGCACATGAAGAAAGAGAATTAGGACTAGGAACGGAGTGTGAGCGATTGCAGGCCCTCCAACGCTCTAGCCTGGAGAGCGCCGCTCTGCAAGCACGGAAGGCTGCTGGAATCCGAGACGTTTACCGCATTCCTGGAGTGACGGGTTTTTGAAGCTAGGAGAAAGCACAAGTCGTGCTCAACTGATCCTGATTCGCAGCTGAGAACGTCTCTGGTACTTTGTCTCTTGAACTTAGCCACCTTGTTTTATGATCTGAGGTCTGGCATTGCTTCTAGTTCTTCAAATTGCTTCACAAGAGCAGTGACATGCCAAAACCGGAACCCTAAACCCTTATCGCACATGGCCCGAAATCTGAAGCCTGAACTTCAAAGCCAACCAAAGTTACCGGAAGCGCTTGGGAGGCCAGCTTCCGTTGGGACCAGCGCTTCAACCCGCTCAGCTCCCTGAAGGGGGAAGCGCAGGAAGCGCATCCCAGCTGTATTGTCCCGATCGGTTGTGTAATGCTTGGCCCTTCTGCAGCTCTTTGTTTATGAGCGTGTTGGGAACTGAGCTCTGGGCCGGGCCCCAGGCCTCGTGCTTGCCACTCTCAGGAAGGACATGGAGGAGCTGGTGAAGCAAAGCGGAATGCGGCTGGAGATCCGGCTCCAGGGGCTGCCGCTTGCCTCGAAAATTATCAGAACGATGCCGGTGATCCAGCCGAGCTTTGCATTCCAGCCATTGAGAGATCTGTGCATCCGAAACACTACAGTGAGAAAGAAGCTTTCAAGAGACTTGATTTGGGATGTAAAGTAGGTTGTACTGCGATATGTTTGGGGGTTATAAATGTGGCGTATGGTGCTTATACAACCTTGCTTGAGCACCGATTTCCGAGTAGATGCAGATGTCCCGAGTCCTCCGGCACCTTGGCAGAGGCAGCGCGACCTCGCCGTCTTGAAGCAGAACCTCGCTTCCCTGGATCTCCCGCCCATGTCGCCGGTCGAAGTTTATATTTTACTTCGGGCCGCCAGGACGAAAGTAAGGGGGTTTAGGGCATCCATGAAATGGAGCAGGGCCAGGAGAGGAGACCCTCAACTTGACGTTCTAAATTGGCTGCGTTGCGACTGCTCAAGGCTGATGCGGACGGGTGAGGCAGAACTGCTCAACGGAGAGGCGCCCGGGGCCCGCAACCTGGGGGCTTAATGGCCTGACTGGCCTGACTTGCTGGATGATGTTACCTGATGGTATGCAGAGGATGATTCAAAGCTCAGTTCTTCCGCCACTGTCCGCTTGCACGCATGCAGACGGCTTCAGGAACCCGGCTTTGGGGCGGGTTGTGAGAGGGCGGGTTGAGATGTACTGTACAGCACTGAGGGGCTGAAGCTGTACGTATTTCGAGATGACACCTAGAGACCCTCGGACGATGCACAGGTGCTTGGCACTGTGACGGCTGCCATTGGCCAGTGGTCGGGGTTCAGCTTCAATTTCTCCGCCGCAATGGAGGGCAGATGCCAGGAGGACAGGACACACACGCACACAGACAGTAACGCAGTCAACAGAGTCACACCCCGCCAAGGCAAAATGTAGACCAGAACACCCTCTTGGTTGAGCCGTTGCGAAGGAGTGCAGCTCCTTTGCCCAAGCCGGCCGCCTGCTGCAGCACCTCGCCTTCATCTTGTCCTGACAAAGAGTCCACGATTTTGAAGAAATCCAGGCCCGGTTGAGACTTCCAGCTTCAGGGTTGCATGACGTTGCATGTCGTTTTAATTCTTGTTATTTCTTGTTTGGTAGGGCTGCTCGCGGCTTCCTCTCGGATGATAGAAGGGCCCAGTCCGTGTTGTAGGTGGGTGGGGCAGGTGATGCTACGAATGCTCAGGCCATCTCATGCCAATGCCACGGCAAGCAGTGACATAACGTGATGCATGTGACACTCACGCCAAGAGGTCAGCAATCAGCAATGTAGGTACAATGTAGATTGAAGCCTAAGTGCCAGCAGGAGCATGTCTGTGTAACAAGTTTTGTCTTTGTCACTTGCTGTCGA